TGGAAAGGATGATAAGGGCCCTGGATATTCCTGCCCCTAAACCCCCGGAACATGTTGAGGACCCGATGTTCCCGTCGGAGGAACAAAATGTGGTCTCCTCTTCGGCCCTCCCAGTGTTGCCTTACCTTTTAAAGCTGGCAAAAGTCGTCGATACGGCCCCACTGGCTGTGCCGGCAGTTCCTAGGCGGCTAGATTCATTGTATAAAATTGATATGTCTACAGCCAAATGGGCACTGACGCCACCTAAGGCCAACACTGTGGTGGCCGAAGTCACTAAATCCAAGCGACCCAAGAACTCAGTGACCACCCCCCCAGACAGGGAGGGCAGGAAATTAGACACAATGGGAAAGAAAGCGTATTTTGCAGCTAGTTTATTCACGCGTATGGCTCATTACGCAACGTATATGAGCGGTTACCAATCATTTTTATGGAACCGAATGTTGCCGTATATTGAGTCCATGCCGCTGGAGGAGCAGCGCCTCCCCAAGGCACTGCAAGGCGAGGCCCTGGCATTATCGAAACTACAGAAAGACTTTGCCAAACATATGGCAGAGACAGCAGGCAACCTGTTTGCCACTGCCACTTCCATACGGAGGCATGCCTGGTTACGGGCCTCTAACCTCTCCGAGGAAGGGAAGGCCTTAGCCGAAGACCTCCCCTTTCACGAGGAGGGCCTGTTCAACCCCAATACAGATGACAATTTAAAGCAGAAGCAAGACGTTAGGCAATCAGCCTACAAATTCGGCTATACATGGCAGCCGTATAACCAGCCAAGGGCCAAATGGCAACAGTCTGCGACCCCTTATCGCAAGCCCTTTAATAGCTCCTCTACAGGACCTTTCAGGAATAGATTCTCAGGGACTTCCAGGTTCCAAGGAGCCCGCCGAACCCCTTATTTCCAAAAGACTAGGGTGCAACCCTTCCAAGGGAAGCCTAAGCTTTCAGGCGCCTCCAAGAAGCGCCTTTGACGCTCCCGCTGCAAACTTAGAGACGGGCCCGCCCGAACCGGCATGGACTCCTCTAAGAGAGTCCTGTCATCTGGCTCCCCCTCCACACTGTTCTACCATGTTAGACCCTGAGGTCCCCGTTGGGCCACCCCCCTTGTTCAAAGACAGGCTTGCCCCCTTCCACCCTGAATGGGCACGCATCACGACGGATGCTTGGGTACTGTCTATTGTTTCTAATGGTTATGCTATTGAATTTCAAGACATCCCTAGAGTGGGTCAGTTGAGAGACACTGCTTCTTCCCCTCAGCTTATGGAGGAGGTTGGGATGCTGTTACAAAAAGGGGCCATCTCGTTGGTGGACCCCTCAGCTGTTCCGTTCTGTTTCTTTTCGAGATACTTTCTGATTATCAAACGTGGAGGTGGAATGTGCCCAATCCTTGATTTGAGAGCATTAAACATATTAAGCCAAAGAGATTTCGGATGGTGACTCTTGCTTCCATAACCCCTCTCCTCTCCAGGGGGGTTTGGTTTGCGACCGTTGACCTTAGGGATGCGTACTTCCACATCTCTATTGCTCCACACCATCGTAGATTTCTCTTCTTTAGGGTAAATGGCCAAGCGTACTGTTTTAACATTCTACCTTTTGGCCTCTCCGCTGCCCCAAGGGTTTTCACAAAGTGCATGGCGGTGGTGGCGGCCCACTTTAGGACGAGGGGCGTGACAGTCTACCCGTATATTGATGACTGGCTGATAGTGGGCAAATCCCGTTACGTGCTTCAAAAACACGTTTCCATGGTTTTGTCTCTTCTCCAGTCGCTGGGCCTCGTACTCAACCGGGAGAAGTCAGTGCTGGTGCCTTCACAGCGCATCCAATTCATCGGGGCTCTTCTGGACTCCATCGCCGAGAGAGCCTTTCTGCCCAAGGACCGCTTCGCCAATCTGCGCGACCTGATCAGCCTGACCATCACGGCACCCGACATGTCGGCCAAGCATTTCCAAGTGCTATTGGGGCACATGGCTTCGACCACGTCGGTCATCCGCTATTTCAGATTGCATATGCGGCTACTCCAATCTTGGTTCCTCTCCAAGTTCAACCCGTTGGTGGACAACCCAGGCGTGAGACTGTCCCCACCATCGTGGGTCCGCTCCTCGCTCCGATGTTGGATGAACCCGGAGTGGGCTTGTGCGGGACTGCCTTTCTACGCCCCTCGCGCCACAAGAACGGTCACCACAGATTCCTCTTTGACGGGCTGGGGGGCCCATTCTCAAGGCCTAGTGGCTCACGGCATGTGGGGAGAAGAAGAAAGCACTCTTCACATAAACGCGCTAGAGCTTCTCGCCGTCGACAGGGCCCTGAGATCCTTCGAGAGGGTGGTCACAGGTCAGGTAGTACACGTCCTCACCGACAACACCGCGGTGATGTACTACCTGAACAAACAGGGAGGCACACACTCTCACACCCTCCTTGCCCTTTCCATACAAATATGGGAATGGTGCATAGACAGGGGGATTCATCTTCTTGTGACCCATGTGCCAGGAGAAGTGAACCTGTTAGCAGACTCCCTGAGTCGGAACCCATTAACACATCACGAATGGTCCCTGAACCAGGAAGAGGTGCGGAGACTCTTCCAAGCATGGGGAACCCCAGAGCTGGACCTCTTCGCAACGCAGTCCAATTCGAAGTGCTATCTCTTCTGCGCACGAGCACATGCGTCGCCTCAGGGGAGGTGTCTAGGAGACGCCTTCGTCCACACCTGGACGGGCCACAGGACTTATGCGTTCCCTCCGTTCCCGCTCCTATTGAGGGTAGTTGCGAAGATCCAGGCGGAAAACGCACATTGCATACTAGTGACCCCGTGGTGGCCGAGGCAGCCATGGTTCTCGCCGTTGCGCCTGATGGCGAGGGGAGTGTTCACCCGCCTGTCGGACAGGGCAGACCTCTTAACATCACAGGGAGGCCAGGTGTTGTACCCAGAGGTACACAGATTGAGACTCACTGCTTGGCGGATTCTCCCCAGACTGTAGCCCCGTTTTCTGATTTGTCCCACTCTGTGCTCCGAATTATCGAGGCGGCCCATAGGCCGTCCACTAAGCGGTCTTACCTTTATAAATGGTCGAGGTTTTCCTCCTATGCAAAGGGACGGGGAGCAAATCCGGACACTGCTCCCATCTCTCTAGTGTTAGATTTTCTTGTGTCACTGTTGGATGCAGGGTTATCCTACCCATCGTTAAAATGTTACTTGGCCGCTATTTCGTGGTTTCGTAGGAAATTTGGCCTCCCTTCGTGTTTTCTAGATCCTCTTGTGAAGACTTTTTAAAGAGGACTCATGAATACTAGACCCCCAGTAGCTCCTGTTGCCCCCTCTTGGAGCTTGGAGTTGGTGCTTAGTTCGCTAATGAAGGCCCCATTTGAGCCTTTGGCATCGGCCAGCTTGTTTTGCCTATCATGGAAAACGGCCTTCTTAATCGCGATAACATCGGCCAGGAGAGCTAGCGAACTGTGCGCCCTTAGGGTGGATCCTCCGTACCTCAAATTTCACAAAGATAAGGCAGTTTTGAGAACTGATATAGCATTCCTGCCTAAAGTGTCTACGAAGTTTCACATTTCCTAGGACCTGATACTGCCCTCTTTCTTCCAGAACCCTACCACTTCTCTAGAGAAAAACTTGCATTTGCTTGACGTTCGCAGAGCCTTAGCCTTTTATGTAGACAGAACGGCTCCCTTTAGAAAGACTCCTAAGTTGTTTGTTAAATACCGTTCTGATGTCTTGGGCATGCCTGTCTCATCTCAAAGACTGTCATCCTGGATTGTGTCAACAATTGAGTTATGTTATCGAGTGGCGGGCAAGGATTTGCCCCGTCCCATTAGAGGTCATTCAACAAGATCTGTGGCTACGTCTGCAGCGTTTTGGAAGGGAGTTCCTCTGGATGCTATCTGCCGGGCGGCGATATGGTCTTCACCGCTCTCCTTTGTAACATTGTAACACACTATAAGTTGGATGTTGTATCCAGGCGTGATGCACAATTTGGCAGAGCAGTTTTGTTTTCGGCTGTGGCATGACGCCCACCGTCCATGGTTAGTAGCTCGCTAATCTACCAAATGTACGATTCACAGTGACTACGACAGGAAATTATAAGTTGCTTACCTGTAACTGTAGTTTCCTGAGTAGTCACCTGTGAATTCGTACATACCCGCCCATCCTCCCCTCGAGTACATGCCACGCCTTCTGGCTGCTTTGCGGCGGAAGAGAACTGCTGGCTAGCCCCGCCCACGGGCTACTTATACTCGGGGAGAGGGTGGGCGGGCCTAGCTGGGGTCTAAATTGTTATTTTACTTTCTAGAAGGTTCCGAAAGCTGTTCCACGCATGCGTGTAAATACCAAATGTACGAATTCACAGGTGACTACTCAGGAAACTACAGTTACAGGTAAGCAACTTATAATTCCTATGTTTCAGGAATGCCCAAGCAAGAGAGAGAGCAGCCTCGGGGGGGGGGGGGAAGGCGGGGCTTCGGAGCAAGCCCGAGCGCAAGCTTCCTGTAGTTTGCTGCGGCACGAGCATATGCTCACAATGCTGCCCTAGCAAAGAGAAATAGGCAGAGAAAGAGGCGGAGCATCGCTCGTGCTGGCTTAGTTTGCTCTCGCAAAATCCTAGTTTGCTACGGCTCTAATAATAATAAATACTGCAGACAGACAAAGCACAAACCTAGTGGCGCAAAGGGGCAGAGGAAGGGGGAAACACCCTTGGCAGAGCCCTTTCCCTGCCTGTCTGCAGAATTTCACGTTTGTAACCCGAGTAGCATTGGAAGGGGCTACTGGGCCACAGAGTCCAGCCCCCTTCTACTCCATGCAGGATCAGACACTGCCCAGAGAAGATGACCTCCCCCTGCCCCCCACCCAAACCTTTCTGGGCAATAGGTCTCATTATCCAGCAACTCCTTGCAAAGAACTCCGGTGCAAATGTATCCCCCTTTCCTCCAAAATCCAGTGCTTCCTTGTGGTCTTTCCAGATCTCGCCACCTCCTTGGCCACAGAAGAGACCCTGAGATCAGCGGACAGCATAAATGGCTTTATTAGGGGAGGGGGGGTAGGGTGCTTGGGGGCCTCAGAAGAAAAGCCCCCGCATCCTGCGTCCGATGCCCTGCCGGTCATAGAGGATGTTGAACTTGTTCACAAACTGGTTCATGGTGTTGCAGGTCTTGGTGATGGTGCCCAGGTACGTCATCAGGCCTACGTCGTTGCATTGCTGAAAGAGGGGGGGAGAGGGAAGCGACGCAAAGAAAGGTGAGCAAGGAAGGGGTTAGGGTTAGGGTCTCCATCACCCTTCAGACCTCAGGCCAGAAGACAGGCCTGCAAGGGATTACTACCGAGGACAGCTCCCCAAAATACACAAGACACAAGTGCCCGGCCTCATCTCTTGACTCTGCTGGAAGTTCTTCCTTGTTGGATGCGCTCTTTCTGTCCTGTCCACAGTCATGGATTCTCACATGACGTGGTCACTTCCCCACTATTTATTTATTGATTGACAGTATTTCTATTCCGCCCTTCTCCTCACCCTGCAGGGGACTCAGGGCGGATTACAGTGTAAACATATATGGCAAACACTCAAAGCCAAAGACACACAACAGATATAGACAGACAGTTAGAGGCTATTTAACTTTTTCTGGCTGCCAGGGGAGCTGTTGCTTTCATCGTCCATCTGCGACGCTGATGAAGTGTGGCAGTCGTTAGGGGAAAAATAAAATAATATAATTTAAAGATCCTTACCTGACGGCTCAAGAAAGATTTTGCAAAGTAAGGGAAAAAGCCGACAGATGGCATGGATCGATAGAGAGGTCAACATGACTGATCAAAGTTACATGTTTATACAGGCCAAATGTTTATTTTAGCTAAAAGTTGACCACCAAAGAACTGGCAGCACACAGAAATCAATATATATCGATCCAAGGCTTTGAACACCTAAGGTCATATAGTGAGAGAGCGCCATCTCCTGACTATTTGATGTAAATAATAGGTAATTTCAGAAACGTTTCATTTAAAAGCAAATTCCTGGGGAACTAAGTTATTAATTACGGCAGAATTGATGAGGAGATTGCCTTGATCAACTTTTATGTTAAAAACATATAAAGTTATGATTCATTTAAGAGATCTAAGGGAATTGAAAGACTAATTGAACGTGTCATCTGGGGATAATAGGTAGAAGGTTGAATAGTTATATAAGTGAGCAGATGTTTGGGGTCATGATGGTCTTGCCAGAAAGATGTCCTTGGCAACTATATATGAAAATTCCTGTTAATGATTGTATTGTGTAAATGTCAGAGTTGTTCTACGCATGTGCAAAACTAGCAATTTCATGCTACAAAAGCTGGACTAAATGTGACATCAGGGGTGCATCAGCTCTTGGTTTTGCGGATCACCCTTACTCCGGAGTATGAATAAACGCCTGGAACCCTGCCAAGCTGTTTCTCAATCTTCTTCCTTCTCCATACGTACTCAATGAAACCTGGTAACATATATGTCCCGCTACAGAAGTACTTCCGCATTCCCCGCATGCTTTGCTGGAATCTTTTTTATGGCCATGTAAATTAGTTAATTTAGCCTCCCCACACTTTAAGATGGTACCTAATTTTCCTACTTGACAGATGCAACTGTCTTTTGGGTTGCAAAGGTCAACAGCAAGCTACACAATTGGTCAGAAGCTCACTCCGATCTAGGCTGGCTTCGAACTCATGACCTTTTGGTCAGAAATGATCTTAATGCAGCTGACACTCAGCTAGCTGTGCCACAGTCCCGGTGCTAAAATACCACTAAAATAGCAATTAAGACATGTTCCCCTCCCCCATGACCAGTTTATGTCGTTGTTGTTTATTGTTTGTTTTCGGTTTTATTTTATTGTAATTTGCTGTTTGGGCCCAGCCTCATGTAAGCCGCTCCGAGTCCCCATTGAGGAGATGGTGGTGGGGTATAAGGTTGGTAAAGGTTGTCCCCTGACATTAAGTCCAGTCATGTCTGACTCTGGGGTGTGGTGCTCATTTCCATTTCTAAGCTGAAGAGCCAGCGTTGTTCATAGACACCTCCAAGGTCATCTGGCCAGCATGACCGCATGGAGCGCCGTTATCTTCCCGCCGGAGCGGTACCTATTGATCTACTCACATTTGCATGTTTTCGAACTGCTAGGTTGGCAGAAGCTAAGGCTGACAGCGGAAGCTCACACCGCTCCCTGGAATCGAACCTGCGACCTTTGGGTCAGCAAGCTCAGCAGCTCAGTGCTTTAACCCACTGTGCCACCGGGGGTGACCGGGGGTGCAACTGCTTCACCTCACACTATCAGCCTCCCCCCACAAAGGAGCCCCTGCCCCCCCCGCCCCCACTCCTGTGCACCCTTCTGGTTGCTTGTCACTCACATCGTAGAAATCTGTCTTGAACTTGTCTGTGCTCAGCACCGGCAGGCAGTGGCAGAGCGCATAGGCCTCGCGCAGAATCTCATGGTTGAAGGGCACCTCTCCTGCGTGAGAGAAGGGGAGAAGTGGGGGGGGGAGGTTAGGAGGGTGCTGCCTCCCTCCACCAAGGGGCCTGCGCTGTCCCTCGTGGCCCCTCCCTCCCTCTTCTCACCTGCTTCCGAGGCTTTGACGTACTCCAAGATGAGCTTGACGCGGCTGTGCAGCATCTTGATGGCGCTGTGCTGGGCAATGAGGTGCTCGGCCACTGAAAGGGGAGCAGAAGGAGCTCAGGGCACAGCTCGCCCTCCAGAGCCTGATAACCGCCCCAAAGTCTCCAAGGAGCAGCCGCAGCAGAGGCCCAGGCACCAGGCTGAGGGAGACCCAGCAACCCCTCTTGTCAGGTTTTACAATGTATTGTAATGTAATATAGCTGAGTCATGCACTGCTAATAGGCTTCCATTGGAAATGCTGAGTCATGCATTAACTGTATATAGAACTTCATTTGGGGAATGTGTTCTGGCCTAGTCCAGGTGATTGTGAATGATGCAATCCTGGGTCTGAGTTAAGTTAATGAGTTGAGAACCAATCAGAGATTGCTATGTGTAATTGTATAGAATTGTATATAAGGAAGTCATGTACAGTGTATATTTCTCTCCTTGTGCTGTGATGCTGTTCGTCGAAGGCTCTATGTAATTGATTAAAAGAACCTATCTGCTAAGACAAGATATAACTGTGTGCTGTGGTAAGTTTGTAGTGTCATCTAGATTGGAGGGGGAAACGATAGTAAAACTGACAATGGCCGGACATGTGCTCAAGTGTCTGTAAAAGAGTTCCAGAGTGACTGCAGGCTGATAATACTGTGCAGGAAGAAGCTACTGGAAAACACTGAAGTCGTGCAACTGATCTGCTGCTGAATTGTGAAATTAGTCTCAACACCCCTTCCTTCCTACCTTCCATCCATCAGCCCCCAGACAAATGACCAGCCACTGTCAGAAGGGACGGAGAGATTCATCTATGCAGATGATCGTGCCATTACCGCTCAAGCAGGGAGCTTTGAGATGGTTGAACAGAAGCTCTCTGAAGCTCTAGGTGCTCTTACTGCCTATTACAGGGAAAACCAGCTGATCCCTAATCCATCTAAAACACAGACATGCGCCTTTCACCTTAAGAACAGAGAAGCATCCCGAGCTCTGAGGATTACCTGGGAAGGAATCCCACTGGAGCATTGCAGCGCACCCAAATACCTGGGAGTCACTTTGGACCGTGCTCTGACCTACAAGAAGCACTGCTTGAACTTCAACCAAAAAGTGGGCGCTAGAAACAATATCATACGGAAACTGACTGGCACAACCTGGGGATCACAACCAGACACAGTGAAGACATCTGCCCTTGCACTATGCTTCTCCACTGCTGAGTACACATGCCCAGTGTGGAACACATCTCACCACGCTAAAACAGTGGATGTGGCTCTTAATGAGACAAACCGCATTATCACGGGGTGTCTGCGTCCTACACCACTGGAGAAATGACGCTGTTTAGCTGGTATTGCACCACCTGACATCCGCCGGGAAGGAGCAGCCAACAGTGAAAGGACCAAGGCAGAGACATCTCCAGCTCATCCCCTGTTTGGGTATCAGCCAGCACATCAACGACTCAAATCAAGAAATAGTTTTCTAAGATCTACAGAGACACTCGCTGGAACACCTCAGCAAGCGAGAGTCCAAAAGTGGCAGGCTCAAACCCAGAACCTCAACTCACCGCTGAGACCAGACTCCCTCCGAACTCAAGAACGGAAAACGGAATGTTGGAGGACAGGAAAATAGATTTAAAGATGGGCTCAAAGCCAATCTTAAAAACTCTGGCATAGATACTGAGAACTGGGAAGCCCTGGCCCTTGACCGCTCCAGCTGGAGGTCAGATGTGACCAGCAGTGCTGTAGAATTTGAAGAGGCATGAATGGAGGGTGAAAGGGAGAAGCGTGCCAAGAGGAAGGTGTGTCAAGCCAACCCCGACCAGGACCGCCTTCCGTCTGAAAACCAGTGCCCTCACTGTGGGAGAAGATGTAGATCAAGAATAGGGCTCCACAGTCACCTACGGACCCACTGAACTTGGAGGACCATCATCCTCAGACTATGAAGGATTGCCTATGTAAGTAAGTAAATGATGAAACGGTTTTCTAAGAGCTACAGAAACACACACTGGAACACCTCAGCAAGCAAGAGTCCAAAAGTGGCAGGCTAAAACCCAGAACCTCAACCCACCACTGAGACCAGACTCCCCCCTGGGCACTCAGAAGACTGGGCAACTTGGAAGCCGCTGAACAGACTGTGCTCTGGCACCACGAGATGCAGAGGCAACCTTAAGAAATGGGGCCACAAAGTGGAGTCCACGACATGCAATTAAACCACAGACTACGTACTGCAATGCAACCTGAGCCCTGCCATATGCACAATGGAGGACCTTCTTGTAGCAACGCCAGAGGCACTCCAAGTGGTCAGCTACTGGTCAAAGGGCATTTAGTATCATGCCAAGTTTGCAACCTTTGTGTGTATGTTTTTTTAAAAAATACAATACAACTGTTTGGCTTGCTCCTGATACGATAAATAAATAAACATCCCCCCTCCCCCAGCCTTGGCCTGCGCTTACCCGTGGAGTTCTCCCCACTGCCAGTGGCCGTCATCCGTGCCACATGGTCCACCCCAATGCGCTCCGCCTCCTCGGTGGCCAAGGTGTATGTCAGCTCTGCAAAGAGCATGGTGGCCTGGAGGGAAACGGGACGGAGGAGAGGTTAGGTGTCAGCGGTTCTAAACACTCATAACACTCCTGCTCTTGAGGAAGTGAATCTTACTAGTTCTGGTTGGGGAAGCAGGTATCCCAAAGCACAGTTTCGTGGTCTTTTGCTCTTTTTTATGGCCTCATAAATTAGTTAAATTAGCCTCCCCACACATAGGTGGTACCTAATTTTCCTACTTGACAGATGCAACTGTCTTTCAGGTTGCAAAGGTCGACAACAAGCTACACAATTGGCCGGAAGCTCACTCCGACCCGGGCTGGCTTCGAACTCATGACCTTATGGTCAGAAGTGATCTTAATGCAGCTGACACTCAGCCAGCTGCGCCACAATCCCACTATACCATTATATTGCAATATTATTTATTTATTTGTTTATTTAAAACATTTATATCCCGCCTCTCTCAACCTGAAGGGGACTCAGAGCGGAGCACAACATATACATGGCAAACATTCAGTGCCTGGGTACAATACATGAACATTAAAAAGCATTTATCTAAATATTAAAATACACCATTTAAAATAACACCATTTAAAACCATCCTAGCCATCCGCATCAAATCCAATTGGCCCTGTCATCTTTCCCATTGCCGCTTTATTGCCCTGTCCCGAAAGCTTGGTCCCACAGCCAAGTGTTGACCATCCTTCTAAAGGACAGGAGGGAGGGGGCCGACCTGATTTCACCAGGAAGGGAGTTCCTTGGCTGGGGAGCCATCACCGAGAAGGCCCTGTCTCTCATCCCCTCCAATCGTGCCTGTGAAAATGGCGGGACGGAAAGCAGGGCCTCCCCGGAGGATCTTAATCTCCGCGATGGTTCATAGGGGAAGATACGTTTGGACAGGTAATTTGGGGCGGGGCCGTTTAGGGCTTTATAGGCCAAAACCAGCACTTTGAATTGTGCCCGGTAGCAAACTGGCAACCAGTGGAGCTGGCGTCACATGGGAATTGTATGCTCCCGGTATGCCACCCCAGTTATTAACCTGGCTGCCTTTCGTTGGACTATTTGAAGCTTCTGAGCAGTCTTCAAAGGCAACCCCATGTAGAGTGCATTGCAGTAGTCTATCCTAGATGTAACGAGAGCGTGGACCACCGTGGCCAAGTCTGACTTCCCATTATTAGTAGTATTATATTGTATTACCTGATAATATTATAAATATTATATGTATATACAATATATTATATTATGTTATATTATTAGCATAGCATGGGAGGCAAGCTGGGTCTGTCCCCTGGCCCCCCCTCTCTTCACTCTGGCCCAGAGTGTCAGTTGGTGCTGGGGGGAGGGTCCCCAGCTGATGACATATGCAGGAGAGAAGATGGTGCTGTCCCCTGGCCCACCCCCCTTCACTCTAGCAGTACAGTTGTTTGGAAAGCTCTGCTCTACAACAAGCATGGGCCAACTCTGGCCCTCCAGGTGTTTTGGACTTCAACCCACAATTCCTAACAGCCTACTGGTACTGAGACAACCCATTAGGGAGGGGACGCAATTGATATTGCCCTCTGCACAAGCACGGCACTATTTAAGCCAACCCTCCTTGCAGCTTTGCACAGAGAGCGAAGCCCCCCCCCTCCTCTCTTTCCAATCTGCCAGCAATTGTGGTGAAGGGAGGCAAAGGGAAGGCGGAACAGCCATGGAGGGGGCCAAGGAGATTACCTCTCCGTTGATGATGTCGATCACGGACTCAAAGACGCTGACGGGGAGCTGAGGGAGAAGAGAAAGAGAGATAGAGAAGGTGATGCAGTGTCTCCCTGGGAGCCTTTCGTGGTGCTCCCAAATAATAATAAAAATAAAATAATAAAAATAATAAATATTAAAATTAAAAAGAGGGGGGCGGAGGGGGCCGCGACTCACGTCCGTGTGCTTGGTCATGGGGTTGAGCTTGAGGAAGAGGGGGCTCTCGATGATCTCACACACCTGAGGAGAGGAAGAAGCAAGAGGATGAGGACAAAGAGAGGGGGAGGCTCACCTTTGCCCCTTCCCCTGCATATTGGGGGCATTTTGAGAGGGGAGGGCTTACCTGCTTGTGGATGTGGATGTCCGACTGGTCCGGAGGGCCGCCCGTCGTGTACCAGCCCAGGAACTCCAGGTCCTTGAAGACTTGCTTGACTGCGGAGGAGGATTTCAAGACTCAAGGGGGATACTGACCATTCTGGATTCAAGAGGGACATGAACTCAGAGCTGGGAGGTGTCCAGAGAAGGGTGACTAAATGATCAAAAGTCTGGAGACCATGAATCCCTGGGGGTTGGGACCCCTGGGGAGTCGCAAGGGGGGTTTCAGAGGGGTCACCAAAAATATCAGAAAAGACATATTTCTGATGGTCTTAGGAACCCCTTTGGCAGAGAAGGCTGAAGATCACTCCATCTGTCCTGCTCTTTCTTTTCAGACGGAAAATATTCCTACCAAAAGCCCTCTAGATCAGTGGTTCTCAACCTTCGTAATGCCGCGACCCCTTAATACAGTTCCTCATGTTGTGGTGACCCCCAACCATAAAATTATTTTCGTTGTTACTTCATAACTGTAATTTTGCTACTGTTATTAATTGTAATGTAAATATCAGATATCCAGGATGTATTTTCATTCACTGGACCAAATTCGGCACAAATACCCAATACGCCCAAATTGGAATACTGGTGGGGTTTAGGGAGGGGTTGATTTTGTCATTTGGGAGTTGTAGTTGCTGGGATTTATAGTTCACCTACAATCAAAGAACATTCTGAACTCACCAATGATAGAATTGAACCAAACTTCCCACACAAACCTCCATGATCAACAGAAAATACTGTATTTTCTGATGGTCTTCGGCGACCCCTTTGACCCCACAGGGGTCCCGACCCCCAGGTTAAGAAACACTGCTCTAGATCCATCATTGTTTGAGTCCACAGTGCTCAATGGATGTAGGTGAACTACAACTCCAAAACTTAAAGTCAATGCCCATTATTGTGTGTTATTGCTTATATGTGAGTTATATTAATTGTACTGTTTTATTTGCTTGCTGCTTTGTTGTTTACTGATGTGTTGTTGGGCTTGGCCTCAGGTAAGCCGCCCTGAGTCCCCTTGAGGAGATGATGGCGGGGTATAAAGATTATTATTATTATTATTATTATAAACCCCTTCAGTATTTTCTGTTGGTCACAGGAGTTCTGTGTGCCAAGTTTGGTTAAATTCTACCATTGATGGAGTTCAGAATGCTCTTTGATTGTAGGTGAACTATAAATCCAGCAACTACAACTCCCAAATGTCAAGGTCTATTTTCCCCAAACTCCACCAGTGTTCACATTTGGGCATATTGAGTATTTGTGCCAAGTTGGGTCCAGATCCATCATTGTTTGAGTCCACAGTGTTCTCTGGATGTTGGTGAACTACAACTCCATAATTCAAGATCAGTGCCCACCAAACCCTTCCAGTATTTTCTGTTAGTCATGGGAGTCCTGTGTGCCAAGTTTGGTTCAATTACATCATTGGTGGGATTAAGAATGCTCTTTGGTTGTAGGTGAACTATAAATCCCAGCAACTACAACTCCCAAATGACAAAATCAATCCCCCTCCCCACCCCACCAGTATTCAAATTTGGTTGTATTGGGTATTTGTGCCAAATTTGTTCCAGTGAATGAGAATACATCCTGCATACCTTATATTTACATGACTAGCTATCCCCTGCCACACTGTGGCCCAGTATGTGCATATGTGTTTTGTGTGTGTATATGTGTGTGTATATGTGTGTGTATATATGTGTTTGCGTATATATATATGTGTGGTTTTGTGCATGCGTTGTAATTTAATTTTTGTTTTTTGGCTTTTTAAGTCTCTTCTGATGCCCTTTTCAGTGTTTTTATGAGTGATGGTCACTTGCTGGCCTGAACGGTGCCTTGTGTCCAAATTTGGTGTCAACTTGTCCAGTGGTTTTTGAGTTATGTTAATCCCACAAACAAACATTACATTTTTATTTATATAGATGATTCAGAACAGGAACCAAATGACAGTAATGAAGTAGCAATGAAAATAAGGCTATGGTTGAGGGTCACCACAACATGAGGAACTTTATTAAGGGGTCGCGGCATTGGGTAGGTTGAGAACCACCTGCCTAGAGAGATGATCGAGCTCTGAAAGAACTGGGGATGTTTAGCCATAGAAGAGAAGGCTGAGAGGAGACCTGAGAACAAGGATGTCCTAAGGGAGAGGGAGCAGGCTGCCTTTCTGCTGCCCTGGAGACTGGGACTCAATGGAGCCATGGGTGCAAATGGCAGGAAAGAAGGTTCCAATTGAACATTAGGAAGACCTTCCTAACCATAAGAGCTGTTCAGCAGTGGAACTCTCTGCCACAGAGTCTGGTGGAAGCGCCTTCCTTGGAGGCTTTAGAAACTGGGGCTGGATGGCCATGTGTCAGGAGGGGCCTTTTGGGTGTGTGTGTGTGGGGGGGGGGGGTGTCTTTGATAGTGCTTTTCCTGCCTAGCAGAATAGGGTCAGACTGGATTGCCTTCAGAGGCCCTTCTCCTGTGCCTCTCCCTCTCTCCTTAGCCCCACCTGTCCCCTCCCTCCCTCCTTCGCTGGGGCTCACACTGTTCCTCCTTGGTGTAGTAGTACTCCTTGTCAATGACGGCGTTCTCCTCAACCGAGTGCGAGAGCAGCTCAAAGGAGTTCATCACCTCGATGTTGCGCCCCTCCTGGCGCCCAATCAGCGCCCCGATCACTGTGGAGAGAGAACAAGGGAGAAGGCCGGAGGGAGATGTAGAGAGAGAGAGAGAGAGAGAGAGAGAGACCCTCATTGACCCCCCTCCCCTTTGGCCCCTCCCTCCAACCTTGGCTCCTCCCCCTCTTTTGTAGCTCCCCCTAGACAGTCATAGCCCCCCCATTGTCTCCCCCCCCCTGTATCCCTCTCTCCTTGGCCCCTCCTGTCGCACCTCAGAATAGATTCACCTTGCTGAAATCACCAAAGCTGCACACAGACTGAAGTCTTTGTAGTTTATTAAAAAGTAAAAGATGAAAAGTTTAAAAAGCAAGTAGTGTTCCAAAGATCAATAAAACATAGCACTATAAACCAGAATTCCCAAATGGCACCAACAAAACAAAGTCCCATGAGAACATGACAAAATCCCAAGACCATGGACACAGGAAAACGAGCACAAGCTGCTTGGTTGAGCGAGAAGTTGCTCTGACAAAGGTTTGTTTTCAAACACCCTGCTTAATACTCTTTACATGTGTAAGGCTGTAGGTTTTATATAGCAATATTAAATGATCACTCACAAGCCGGTTTTGCTTTGAAATGAATATATTGCTTGTATCTCTGGAGCAAAGAAAGGCACTACTGACTTTTTCCCACCACCACTTCCTTTTGTACACCTTTCCTGCCCATCTCCCCGCTCTTCTCAGTTTCCTTATTAGAGCTTGTTGCTTCACAAGTTCCAATACAAGGTTTCTAGCATTTTCTGCTGGCTTCAAAATGTCACAGAGAGAAAATTGAGGCAGCCAGGATGATTCAGTCAGGATGTCATGGAGGGAATTTGTGATGTCTTCATGCCGTCAGAAATTGACTCCTGACAACATGAAAGCATTTCTTTGGCCTCTGACCTCCTTCTTGTTGGCTATTCTCACACTCCTTCGAACTCTGAATTCCAGACGGTCAGCCCGATCCAAGATTCCCGTTTCCTCAAGGTCAGGCTGCTCATTAGTGTCAGTCTGGTTGCCTTCCTGCCTACTCTCAGGCTGGGAACTGTCCTCCTTTTCTGAATCAACTTGCACCTGGCTAGTTTCAGTATCAAAAACATCATTCCCTGCTGTGGGAAACTGAACTTGCACAGAGGTGATTAGATGTCCTTGTTTGTTTCCTCTCTGTTGTTGTGCTGTTGTAATTTTAGAGTTTTTTTAATACTGGTAGCCAGATTTTGTTCATTTTCATGGTTTCCTCCTTTCTGTTGAAATTGTCCACATGCTTGTGGATTTCAATGGCTTCTCTGTGTAGAAACAGAAGTGCTGGACCACTCTCACACCACCATGTCAGACTACACAGAGAAGCCATTGAAATCCACAAGCACATGTGGACAATTTCAACGGAAAGGAAGAAACCATGAAAATGAACAAAATCTGGCTACCAGTATTAAAAAAATCTAAAATTACAACAGCAAAACAACAGAGAGGAAACAAACAAGGACATCTAATCACCTCTCAACAAAAGATTGCCCCAGGCACTGCCAGGCCATCAAATGCTAATCAAGGTGGTCAGTTGAAACATTCACACCTAGCTCCAGCAGACAAGAGTCCTTTGTCCCACCCTGGTCATTCCACAGATATATAAACCCCTTTTTTCTAGTTCCAACAGACCTCACTACCTCTGAGGATGCTTGCCATAGATGCAGGCGAAACGTCAGGAGAGAATGCCTCTAGAACATGGCCATATAGCCTGGAAAAACCTACAACAACCCAGAGATTCCGGCCATGAAAGCCTTCGACAATACATCACCCAGCCTCTGTTTCAAAGCCTCCAAAGAAGGAGCCTCCACCACACTATGGGGCAGAGAGTTCCACTGCTGAACAGCTCCCGCTTGAGGAGCTCCCTCCCTCCTTCCTTCTTTCCTTCCTTACAGAACCCAAGAGTGGGAAGAGACCTCCCCCTCCCGACAGATAGCCATCCAGCCTCTGTTTCAGCAGAGAGTTCCACTGCTGAACAGCTCCCGCTTGAGGAGCTCCCCCCCTCCCTCCCTCCATTCCTTCCTTCCAGAACTCAAGAGTGGGAAGAGACATCCCCCCGCGACAGATGGCCATCCAGCCACTGATTCAGCAGAGAGTTCCACTGCTGAACAGCTCTTCTTGTGTTTCAAATAGTAGTAATAATAATAATAATAATAATAATAATAATAGAGTGAGGAGGAGACAGGCCTTTTCCTAGGCTCCTCCCCTCCCGTGGCCCCCTCCCCACCTCCTGTAGCCCCTCCCCCTCTGTGGTAGCCCCTCCCCCTTTGGTCCTCTCACCTTGTGCGGGGCGTCCCTCCTGGGAGCGCATCCGGATCCAGTGGTCGCTGATGTTGAGGATGACGAGCGGGTGCAGCGCCACCGACACGCTCCCCGTCACGCCCGAGGCCATCACCGCCGGGCCCGCTGCCAAGGAGGACGAGAAGCCCCGTCAGGCCCCAGCCTGGCCTTCCCTTCCCATTCTCCCCTCTCCCCCTCGCTCCCTCCCTCCTTCCTCCCTTCCTCACCGGCCGCGTCCACCTCCATGCCGCCCGCGCCGCCCCCTCCGTTGCTGCTCCCGGGCCCCGGCGGGCAGGAGCCGCCGCTGGAGCCCGACGCCGCCATCTTGGCTGTGGGGGATGTCCCGCCGCGGCTCCCGTAGCCCAGCAGCGACGAGGGAGTACGCATGCGCACTGGGCGCCCCTAGATCTACTAACTAAAGGGATAGTTTAGATAGAGAGACAGCGCCCTCTAGCGGCAGGAGGAGGAGTGGCGGAGGCAGAGCTGGCGCATGCGCCCCTGACGGCCCTACATCTCCGACTGGGATAGTTTAGATAGAGAGAGACAGCGCCCTCTAGCGGCAGGAGGAGGAGTGGCGGAGGCAGAGCTGGCGCATGCGCCCCTGACGGCCCTACATCTCCGACTGGGATAGTTTAGATAGAGAGAGACAGCGCCCTCTAGCGGCAGGAGGAGGAGTGGCGGAGGCAGAGCTGGCGCATGCGCCCCTGACGGCCCTACATCTCCGAATGGGATAGTTTAGATAGAGACAGCGCCCTCTAGCGGCAGGAGGAGGAGTGGCGGAGGCAGAGCTGGCGCATGCGCCCCTGACGGCCCTACATCTCCGACTGGGATAGTTTAGATAGAGAGAGACAGCGCCCTCTAGCGGCAGGAGGAGGAGTGGCGGAGGCAGAGCTGGCGCATGCGCCCCTGACGGCCCTACATCTCCGAATGGGATAGTTTAGATAGAGAGAGACAGCGCCCTCTAGCGGCAGGAGGAGGAGTGGCGGAGGCAGAGCTGGCGCATGCGCCCCTGACGGCCCTACATCTCCGACTGGGATAGTTTAGATAGAGAGAGACAGCGCCCTCTAGCGGCAGGAGGAGGAGTGGCGGAGGCAGAGCAGGCTGTGGCCCCGCCCACTGGGAGGAAAGCCCCGCCCACCGGGCCCTATGTTATTGTTTGTTTGTTTATTTATTTATTTATTTACTTTATTTATATACCGCTCTTCTCAGCCCTTAGGCGACTCAGAGCGGTTTACAACAGTTTCGGTATACACAATACAAAATCATTAAGCATTTAAAAGCAATAGCATCGCAAATCATTAAACATCAATATCAATACATCACTGCATCAATATAGCAAACCCATCAGGTCTCATCAATGAAATCAGAATCCAAACTCATTATTATTATTATTATTATTATTATTATTATTATTATTAACTTTATTTGTACCCCGCTAGCATCTCCCGAAGGACTCGATGCGGCTTACACAGGCCGAAGCCTCAAAACACAATACAATAGAAAACATAACACAACAATAAACAAAGCAAATCAACAATTAAGCAAAATAACAACAATGACGATACATCAATACATCAAGACACTATTAAAACTGGTTCGGCCGGCGCAATGGGGTACAGGGTAAAAGTGCTGAGATGGCAGGAGGAACGTAGGATTAAAAGTGCGGTGTGCAGCAACATTGGTTGTACTAAAGTGCTTCAAGGACTTGGGGGATTCCTAATCTGCGAAGGCACATCGGAACAGCCAAGTTTTTAGGTTCCTTCTGAAAACTGCTAGAGTAGGGGCCTGACGAAGCTCTTTTGGAAGGGCATTCCAAAGTCGGGGGGCCGCCACAGAGAAAGCCCTGTCCCGTGTCCCCACCAAGCGCGCTTGCGACGTAGGTGGGATCACGAGCAGGCCTCCCCAGATGACCGGAGCGAGCGTGTGGGTTCGTAGATGGAGATGCGGTCACGCAGGTAGGGTGGTCCCAAACCGTTCAGGGCTTTGTAGGTGAGCACCTGCACCTTGAATTGGGCTCGGAAAATAAACGGCAGCCAGTGGAGCTCCTTAAACAGAGGGGTAGACCTCTCTTGATAATGAGCTCCAGTTAGCATCCTGGCTGCTGCCCGCTGGACCAATTGCAGTTTCCGAGCCGTCTTCAAGGGCAGCCCCACGTAGAGCGCATTGCAGTAATCCATTCTAGAGGTGACCAAGGCGTGGACCACCCCGGCCAGATCAGCCTTCACGAGGTACGGTCGCAGTTGACGCACAAGTCTCAATTGTGCAAAGGCCCTCCCGGATACCGCCGACACCTGAGCCTCAAGTGTGAGCGAAGAATCCAGGAGGACACCCAAACTGCGGACCTGAGACTTCAGGGGGAGTGTAACCCCGTCCAGCACAGGTAGCCACCCTATACCCCGGTCCGGTTTTCGATCGACCAGGAGGACCTCTGTCTTGTCGGGATTGATCTTCAGCTTGCTCTTCCTCATCCAGATCGACACAGCGGCCAGGCACTCGTCCAGCACCCGAGGAGCCTCCTTGGAATTAGGTGGAAAGGAGTAGTAGAGTTGTGTGTCATCTGCGTAGAGATGGCACCTAACTCCAAAACTCCGGATGACCTCTCCCAGCGGTTTCCATGTAGATGTTAAAAAGCATGGGAGACAGAATAGAGCCTTGCGGGACCCCACAGGTCAAAGGCCAGGGGTCCGAGCAGGCGTCTCCCAGCTTCACCATCTGGGTTCGGCCCTCCAGGAAGGACCGGAGCCACGACAAAACCGTGCCCCCGAGGCCCATCCCAGAGAGACGACCCAGAAGGATACCATGATCGATGGTATCGAAAGCCGCTGAGATGTCCAAGAGAACCAGCAGAGTCACACTCCCCCTGTCCAGCTCTCTGCGGAGGTCATCCACCAAGGCGACCAAGGCTGTCTCGGTGCCATGACCAGGCCTGAAACCAGACTGTGACTGATCTAGGTAGTTGGTATCGTCTAGGAAGCTCTGGAGCTGCGAGGCGACCACTCGCTCCAGCACCTTACCCAAGAAAGGGAGGTTGGAGACTGGTCTGTAGTTACTCAGCACCGTGGAGTCAAGGGACGCCTTTTTGAGGAGTGGACGAACCACAGCCTGTTTCAAGCCAGATGGAAAAATCCCTTGCTCCAACGATGCATTGACAATCAATACAAACCAGTCAACCAACCCCTCCCTGGCTGATTTAATGAGCCAAGATGGGCATGGGTCTAGAGGTGAGGTGGTCGCCCTCACAGCCCCAAGAACCTCCTCTACGGTTTCAGGGAGAACAAGCCTAAAAGAATCCCACAAAATTGGACAAGCAGATGCCTCCGTCACCTCTTCAGGCACTGCGATGGAATTGGAGTCGAGCTCAAGGCGTATCTGAGCGACTTTACCTGCAAAATGGTGTGCGAAATCGCGACACCGAGCTGCTGGGTCATCAGTGACCTCCTCCACCACAGGTGGGTGGAGGAGTTCCCCCACGACCCGAAACAGCTCCGATGATCTATTTGCTGCAGACGCTATACGAGTGGTCGTGAATGATTTCCTGGCCACCCGTATAGCCACGGAGTATGCCTTAAGAGAGGCTTTAGCCCGTGCTCGATCAGACACGACCCGAGATTTCCTCCATTTGCGCTCTAGCCCCCTTCTCGCATGCTTCATCACAGTCAGCTCCCCGGTGAACCAGGGAGATGGCCTGTCACGACGCAACGAGATGGGGCGTTCGGGTGCGATCACATCTAACGCCCTGGACATCTCCCCATTATAGAGAGTCACCAAAGCGTCGATGGAATCGCCAGGCTCCAAGGCAGGAAGAACCCCAAGATTCCTCAGGAATCCATCCGGATCCATCAGTCTCCTAGGGCGGACCATTTTAATCTGTCCTCCACCCCTGCGGAGGTTAAGAGTCGCAGCAAGTCTAAAACTGATCAGATAATGATCAGACCATGACACCGGAAGGATGTTTTGATCTTCCACTCTAATCATTTCGTTGTCCGCCACGAAAACAAGGTCAAGAGTATGTCCAGCTTGATGAGTGGGACCAGATATTATTTGTGACAGTCCTATGGTCGTCATGGTGGCCATAAAATCCTGAGCTGCACCAGATAGGGTGGTCTCGGCGTGGATGTTAAAGTCTCCCAGCACCACCAGGCGCTGGGAGACCAAGGCCGAATTAGAGACCACCTCCGCTAGCTCAGACAGGGAAACTACTGGGTCGCGGGGTGGGCGGTACACCAGCAGGAACCCCACACTGTCACGGCTCCCCACTTTCAAGTGGACACACTCAAACCCAGAAGCCTGCGGGACAGCGTATCTGATCACGGCGATGGATTGCCGGAAGACTACTGCGACCCCTCCTCCCCGCCCCCCTTGTCTGGCCTGCTGATGCACTCCGAAACCTGGTGGACACAACTGAGTGAGATTTACTCCCCCCAGCTCGTCCAGCCAGGTCTCGGTGATGCATGCCAGATCCGCCCTCTCATTATCCGATATTCCGTGTTCCGATAGTCAGTCAATCAATCACACTGCTTAGTCGAATGCCTGTTCAAACAGCCAGGTCTTTACTTTCCTCCGGAATGCCAGCAAGGAGGGGGTCGGTCTAATATCTGCAGGAAGGGCGTTCCACAGCCGAGGGGCCACCACTGAGAAGGCCCTGTCTCTCGTCCCTGCCAGGCGTGCTTGTGAAGCTGGCGGGATCGAGAGCAGGGCCTCCCCGGACGATCTCAATGTCCTAACTGGTTCGTAGGAGGAGACGCGTTCGGACAGGTAGGTAGGGCCAGAACTGACCTAAAGGGTCAAAAGTACTTACAGTGCAGCTGTGATCATCTGAAGAATCATAGAATCAAAGAGTTGGAAGAGACCTCATGGGCCATCCAGTCCAACCCCCATTCTGCCAAGAAGCAGGAATATTGCATTCAAATCACCCCTGACAGATGGCCATCCAGCCTCTGTTTAAAAGCTTCCAAAGAAGGAGCCTCCACCACACTCCGGGGCAGAGAGTTCCACTGCTGAACGGCTCTCACAGTCAGGAAGTTCTTCCTCATGTTCAGATGGAGTCTCCTCTCTTGTAGTTTGAAGCCATTGTTCCATTGCGTCCTCGTCTCCAGGGAAGCAGAAAGCAATCTTGCTCCCTCCTCCCCCCTGTGGCTTCCTCTCACATATTTATACATGGCTATCATACCTCCTCTCAGCCTTCTCTTCTTCAGGCTAAACATGCCCAGTTCCCTAAGCCGCTCCTCATAGGGCTTGTTCTCCAGTGCTGAAGAGCACTGGGCCACATTGGTATCATCCAGGGCAGTGCTTCTTAAACTATCTGATGTGGTAGAATTTTTCCTCACCATGCAGGAAAACGTTGAGCCCAT